TGTCGTGAGTGATTTACAGACAAGCTCTAAATTGAATAAAAGCTGGAACACATTCAATTCTGGAAGACATAAAACCAAGATATTTTTGCTTATGTAATTGTAGGTTGTTAAATTAAAAATGGCACAATGAAAAGCGATGCCGGAATTTGTTTTGATTTGCATAAACTTACTCAGTGAGGAAAAAGCAAGTAGACATTGAGAAAATCAGAGTAGAAGAAAATTCAACGTGACAAAGAAGGACCGCAGGCAATACATACATCCTGGAAAGTAAGCCAGGCAACTGGGCCTTCCTCTCTAGGTAGATGGGGCAAGGCAGAGCATCAGATCACACCACCTGCACTGAGTCCACTCCAACCTGCTACTTACAATTCAGAAAGATGCTCACATGCCAAATGGATTACAAATGCCAGATCTGGAAAGCTGCCCTTTTCAATACCTGTATTCCGTGTTACATTTAGGACATGGTAAACAATTAAAGTATGTCTGGAAATGTTTTTAAAATTGGATACATGAGTAAAGGTATATGAGTGTAAAGATAATAAAATGTTTAATATGTACTTCTCTTTTGAAGGGCTTATAAGGACCAAAAGAAGTGGTACTATAGATGAAGAAAAATAATTAACATATGTTTCAATTAGTTGGTTCAACAACTTGTTCTAGGTGTTGTCCTATAGGCTTGCTACAAATCAGAACTGACTTGATGGCAGTGAATTTTTAATCTTTCCCCACAGGAGTTAGTCTGGCTGTGGTGGTTAGATGATTTCATGTCAACTTGAATGTTTATGAAAGTGTACAATGGAACTAACCTGTCAATCAGGTCACAGTCTACTGCAGCCTTCTTATAGGTGGTAAACCTGGGAACCGCCCTCTCTCTCGTTGGCATTGCCTTCCTGCTGGCTTGGACTTGGCCACCTCCACTGAGAACATCTGGGGCTCTGCATCTTCCCACCAACTTTGGATCCACTCAACCCCACAGCCACCGGCCTGTGTTATTCCTGCTCCTGGTTCACTGGCATGTGGCTATGTGAGTCCGAAGTGGGGCTCGTGGACTAGTTTCTCTAGACCACACAGCCTAATGCACTGGTGTAGGGGATTAGATTTTGGGCAGGTGGAACAGCCAGCCAGTCCATGGGAGAACTATAAGCCTTTCTGCTTCTGGGAAGACTCACAAGCTTGGAAACTCTATGTATACAGGGCCACTGTCTATGGGTCAGGAGCCACTTGATGGTAGTGGGAACCCCTCCCTCCTCAAAGAATTCCATGTTCTTTTATCTATAGCACGACAAAATGGCAGTTTGGGCATACTTGAAGAACTAAAGTGGTTTTTCTTTGCTTTGTTTTTTTTTTGGAGGCAGTATTGGCAATTAAAAAAATATTAAAGGGGCAAGATGAAAATTGTAATGTGTATGGGATCTTTCCCTAATGAAATTCTTGTAGGACAACCCTTACTCCCCTTGAAGCATGAAGAGATATACTGTCATGATGAAATGTATATATATATATATACCTTTTGTAGATTTCTTAGTGTGACCTTCCTGGCCTTTCTTCTCACCAAAAGCAGGTTGTTTTTTTTCCACTGCATTAACATTTCTCCATAATAAAGTGGGTGAAGGGAGACAGTGGGCAATGTTAACATATGAAAATAATAATAATTTATAATTTATCAAGGGTTCATGAGGGAGGGAAGGTGAGGGATGGGGAGGGGGGGAAATGAGGAGCTGATACTAAGGGCTCTAGTAGAAAGAAAATATGTTGAAAATGATGATGGCAACATGTGTACAAAAGTGCTTGACACAACGGATGGATGGATGGATTTGGGTAAAAGCTGTAAAAGCCCCCAATATGATGATTTTTAAAAATCTTCATAATAATCTCCATTGATTATCCTATGTTCTTTGAGAAAAATCTATCAAGATTACTCTTTTGAAATTTTATCAAAACAACAACAAAATTTTTTTAAAAAAAGAAAGAAAGAAATTGTACCAACCCCTCCTCCCCACTGGAAAAAAGTAAGATACTTTTCTGGACTGATGTCTTTGCCTTGAATTGCATGGCCCCAGGAGATCCTCTTGGAAGCCACACTTTGATTGGACTTTTTGTGATGGCACCCTACAGAGACTAAGGCATGTATGTTTCTAAGAGAATGTGTCTGTGGCCATCCACCGACAGCGGAGACCTGTTATAGGTTTAGCGTCAACTTGGCTGGGCCAGGATTCTCAGTACATTGAGGGAAAAACAACAACAACCAAAAAAGGACAGATGTTAGGTTGATACAATTCTCACGATGTGATCCAACACAGTGCAATCAAGTCCATAACGAGAAGTAACCTGACATCATCAACTCTGGGCGCAGACAGCAGGTTAGGTGGATCAAAGCCCCTTCCGTTTAGTCACAGCCTTGATGCAGTTGGAAGAAAGACTCCCTGGCAATGTGGGTGGCCTGCTCCTTTGGACGCACATCCATGGGAAAGCTGGTCGCTTCTGTGGGATCGGAGCCTACATCTGGTTCATCGACCTCCTATCATGATGCTTTCTAATCCCAGGAGCCATCAGCAGGCTGCTGACTTCGATGCATTTGACTTTGGCAGCTCCCCCTGGTGGTGCCCGAGCTTCACAGTCCTGCTTCCTGGAGCACCCACCTCTAGCACACAAGTTGGAAGCCTCCAGTCCTCCATCTGACCAAAGGACATGAGCCAGACTGGACTTACTCACCTGTGCGTCCATTTGAGACACTTCTTGATATAAAACCTTTTCTTTACACAGACATATAAACGCATCACTGGCTTTGTTTCTCTAGAGAACCCAGCTTAACGTATCTTTTAAAAGGCATCTTGTTAGGAGTAAAATCATTCATGTAAGCATCGCAACCTGAAGAGCAATACTTGTGAATTCACCCGTGTGTGTGTGTGTGTGTGTACACACAACAAAATGCTCTTGTGGAGCAGTTGGCTTACCGTTGGGCTTCCCACTGCCAAGTTCATGGGGGATGTTGCTCTGTAGTAGGAAAATTGATGTTTCTGTAAAGCGGTACAGTCTCAGAAAGGCTATGGAGCACTTCTCTCATTATAGCCTATAGGGTGGATATGAATTAGAATTGATTTGATGACAGTATGTGTGTGTATACATATATGTATATATCTTTAACAAAGAACGAAACAAACTCACTGCCATGGAATCAATGCTGACTCACAGTGACCTCCCTGTGGGTTTCTGAGATTGTAACTCTTTACAGGAGTAAAAAGTCGAGCCTATCTCCCAGGGAGCTGCTGGGGGCTTTGAACTGCCAACTATGTGGATTGAAGCCCAACTCCTAACCAGAATACCACCAGGGCACCTATATGTGCCTTTATTTCTTAAACGTGTGTATATATAGCTGCATGTATATATATATAAAAAATAGGGAAATGCATCATATATATGTATATACATACATATTTATGATTGCTAAAAATTAAACTTCAAGTGACTTCAGTGAGTAACTTCATAATGATGAAGGTTAACTCATTCTTTAATGCACTGAGCTTTAAGCAATAATCTTTACTTCAAGCTTTATAAGAAAAAATAAAGGACAAATAAAGATTGATACAATTCTGTATATGGATTCCAATATGCCAAATTCAGGAGTAAATGGCTACTAAGGCCCCTTTCATGTTAATTGAGATAGTTACAATAGCTACCATTTAATCAGCATGGATTATTCCCAGATACCGTGCAAAGGACTCTCTAGAGATCCTATTTAGTCCCTTAAACAGATCTCTAAAATTAACCCTTACCTTACTCACTGTTCACAGGTCAGAAAGCTAGTACCAGTATGAAATCGCAATGTTAGGATTATACTTTTAGGATAATTCACTCTGAATTTGCTCATTGTCATAAAGTACTCTAAAACACATTAAAACTGCCTTTGATGATTACATAATCATATGACTAATTATAGACAAAATCACCTCTAATTCCTGGTTTTATTTCTACACATGAGAGTTCATTTTGAGTTACAACTGCGGATCTCCTCTTAGAGCAGCACTCCTACCACAGCTGTACAGTTGGATAGCCACCCAATCCATAAATTCTAGGCTGGTCATTTAAAAATATATACATGGAAAAACATATAGTACATACAAACCAAATGCAAATAAAAATCTTTTAAAAATCATCAAAATTCTTCTAACAGGTTATGTCAATCCTATTAAAAATGATTCATCTATGTACAATACATAATCTTTAAAAATACTAACCCCAGAACCAGCCAACCAAACAAACAAATTCTTTGGTTCAGCAAAGGGATACTTGATGTGGAAATTCAACTTGTTAAGGATGCACCTTCAAGAAGCACACCAGCCTATGCAACCACAAGGTGTCGAAGGGATCAGGTGTAAGGCATCATCAGAACAAAAAATCTTACCATAGTGAATGATGGGGGGAGTGCAGAGTGGAGATCCAAAGCCCATTAGTAGGCCACTGGAGATCCCCTTCCAGAGGGGTCTCGGGGAGGAGATGAGCCAGTCAGGGTGCGATGTAACAATGATGAGAAATACAACCTTCCTCTAGTTCCTAAAGGTTTCCTCCCCGCTCCCACTACCATGACTCGAATTCGATCTTGCAAGACTGGCTAGACCAGAGGAGGTACACTGGTACAGATAGGAACGGAAAATATAGGGAATCCAGGACGGATGAGCCCTATAGGACCAGTGGTATGAGTGGCAAAACAGGGAGGGTAAAGGGAGAATGGGTAGGAAAGAGGGAACCGATTACATGGAACTGTGTGTGACCTCCTCCCTGGGGGACAGACAACCGAAAAGTGGATGAAGGGAGACGTCAGACAGGGCAAGATATGACAAAATACCCATTTATAAACTATCAAGGGCTCATGCGGGAGTGGGGAGCGGGGAGGGAGGGGAAAATGAGGACCTAATGTCGGGGGTTTAAATGGAGAGAAAATGTTTTGAGAGACGATGTACAAATGCGCTTTACACAATTGATGTGTGTATGGCTTGGGATAACAGTTGTGTGAGCCCCTAATAAAATGTTAAAAAAAGAAAAAAGAAAAAAAAAAAGATGCACCTTCTTGAGTGGGGCCTCACTCCTCTGGCTAATGTTGCAGGAAGCATTCAGCTGACCCTCTCTGAATGCTGAAGACATGAGGGGCGCCTAGGGGATGCTTCTTTCCACATGAAACATTGTCATAGGATAGTATAGTCAGAAGCTTGACTAAACAGAGGAACTTAGATGTTACTAGACCTCTGCGGGATTCCCAAGACATAATTAATGGTCTCTCCTCCAGGCCAAAAGGAAGAGAAGAGCCACAGACACTGAAGGAAACGAACCTCCAGGATCAGCAGTCTGCAGGAACCGCCACCTCATATGGCCTGAGGCCAGAAAGCCTCGATGGAGCCCGGAGACTGCTGTCAACCATTCTGAGGAGAGCCAAAAGAGATGGGCAGGATAGAAAGGGAGAAACCATGAAGCATAACCGAAACTCTTAAAAAGTCCAGACTTAATTGGACCAGATGAGTCTAGAGGACTCTCCAAGACCATCACCCTGAGATACTCCATAAACCTGGAGCCAACGCCCCCTGAGGTCACCTTTGAGCTAAATAACAGGCTGGCTCACAAAAGAAGGATATCAGCAGTGAGACTGTGCATCTCCAACCATCATTTGTATGAAACCAAATGGCCAATAACTGTTCTAAAGCAAAGAGGAAAGCATACGCGGACAGAGAACCACCTGTACTGAACATGAAACGCCCAGAATGGGATTAATAACTATGCCGGCACATTGTGGAAATTGTAACAAATGCCACTGAACAATGTGTGTAGGAATTATTAAATGGGATCCTAATTTTCTATGTCAACTCCACCCCAAATAAAAAAAAAATCTTTATAAATTTGAAAAGAAATATATAAAGAAAACTCTGTTTCTCATCCATTTTGGAAGGGAAGTAGAGGGGGGATGATCATAGTAAACACATTTTTTTAAATGTACTCAAAATATCCTTAGGTACTGGCTTCCAGGGATATAGAAGCTACCCAGTATTCTTTCTTCTGGAAGATTGCAAGGGGGAAACCGAAGCAGTGCAGATATTTGACGGCTTTTTTATTTCCTGTCATTTCCCCAGTGGCTTGCCTATCTTAGCAATCTAAAATTATAAACACCATCAGGACTCAACTGACCTTAAAAAGAATTCCTAACTCAGCAGTGATTACAGCACGTCAACATTTGCCAATGGGATTTTCATTAAAAATTAAGGCTCTTCTATACTCTTTTGGTTTATTAATAACAACCCTCATGGAATTGGGCCAAATATCTCAGAGTTTCAAAGAGTCAGCAAGCTTACAGTTAGATTCATTCTGCTGCACACTTAATCAGAAGAAAAACCATTATAACTTATTCTTCCATGTGTCCTTTTTTGGGAAGATTTATTATGAAAGTTAAGACATTTTTGTAGTCCCATTTTTAACTACACATAACAGCCACCTCTAGCCAGGTTTTAGAAAAATTTTCAAAGTACCACAACTAGTCATAGGAGATTGAAATAGTATTTTCCCCTTAGGTTCCCCACTAGAATATAATTGCCTGGTTGGGTTAATTAACCCATTTATTGTAGAAACTGGTACCACTTTCTCCATGTGTCCAGGGATAGGAGGATATCAGTTTATTTCTAGGTTGAATAAAGATGAGTCAAGAAAAGCCCCTATCCACTAACAAGATCTTGGCAAGCTATCATTTTAAGATGCCATACTGGTTACTTGGCATTTTGAGAACTGGGGAAACCTTCCAAAATTCACCAATAATCTTCCTTCTAGTGCATGATGTTGCAGCTTAAAGGCAAGCCTTTGGAACTGAATCAGATCTCAAAACTAGCATGACTGGGATGGAGTAACAGAAGGCAGAGTAAATGATGCCTCGTCAACAAAAACAGTTCTAATGGTGGGGAGCCGAATGGGGTAGCCATTAACATTTGAGAAAAGCAAAGAATCGAGTATGTGAATAGTTAACAACACCTAAATGAGACATTATAATTCAGAATCACCTCCGTCCAATCCCCCTCCACCCACAGCTCATTCACTTTCCCCTAATGGTCTCCCAAAAGTTACTGGAATACTCCAAAGAGAGAAATAATCAGAGTTGGGCTATAAATTTATACAGTCCTCTTCTGTAGTCCATAGCTCATAATTATCTTTGCTACTGTCAGAAGTCTTTATCCCAGCCGGACAGCTCATCTGGAGGAATCCCTTTTTCCGGAGGATACTTGTCAAAGTATCTGTGATCTGTGGGTCCACTGAGCTAGTAAACAGAAGGGATTACAACAAAGGTGAGGGTGACATTGACTTAGCATATTCTTATCTGAAGAAAGCTTTTTTATTGAACACTGGAATGACACTAATCATAGTCTCAGCCTCATGAAATCTCCCCCTTTAGACCCAAATATATTTGGTCTATGAATTACATTCGATAGGAACTAGATGGCACTAGAAGTTGTTTCCTAAAGAAAATGAGAGGAATTATGTCTATTCCTTTTTAACATATTGAAAAGATTATGTTAAAGGTGAATATTTAAAAAACAAAAAATGCCAGAGTTCTGTTTCATAAAAATGTCTCACCAAGCTTGAATCTTTATATAATCCCACATAAATCTCCCAGTAGTCCAAATAATGGGGCAATGTTAGCGACCCTGCTGAAAGACTGAAATGACTTCAGTATGAAAGCATTTTCAAAAATAGGTGGTTTCCAATCTTTGCTTTCAGACAAATTTAAGTAGGCCAAACACCATCATTGAATTATCAGCAGACAGATCATTATTTATGATATTCCCTAACATAGTGTTCATGTGTTTGGAGCGGGGATAAGTGAGAAGGATTTCAAAGTGACATCACCATAACATAACCCTTCCACTCTCATTCTCTTTTGTTACAATGCTCTGAACACTTGCATCTGTACCACTACTACTGGTATTCATGCTAAATAAATTGTCATTGCTTTAATACATTGTATTATCTGCAGGGACGTTAAAGGCCCCTGGTGATGCTATGGAGTAAGCAGCATTAGACTGCTAACTTTATTTTCCCTTTATTGAACAACATGAGAGAAAACTTTCAAACAAATCTGAACTCTGTTTCAAAATGCTAAAATTTACATAGAAGAAAATCTCTAGCAAATGATCAATAGCGTAATATAGTAAATACCATACCTTTCTTTTCAAAGGTGATGGAAGGCTCCGGGCTTTCAGCCCTTCCCAATTAAAACCATTTAGCCACCTAAGTAGTAAGGAAAGTACAAAGAGAAATTACACGTCGGATAAATCATTAGCATGACAACAACTGTCAAAATCATTTTGTTGCCTTTGAAAGAGGTCAGGGAAAAACAAGAGCAAATAAATGATGCTAGTTATTTGGTGTTACATTAAACTCATGTCAGTAACATCAGCAGGCAATTGTTAATGCAGCTTAGCAATTGTTCTAAATTGCCCAGGTACACTGATTCTCATATGCCTGTAAAATCATCATTCATATTTTGTTTTCTGTTCCAGAACGACCAGCACCTGCTCTTCATCCTCTGTCTCAACTTGCTTCCTATTCCACAGAGAAGTCGGAAACCTAAAAGAACATTTCCACATCCACAATTACTGGGCAAGGAAGTAGCAGGCCAAAGAGACCAAAGGACGTGTTACAGTGGATAAGCCATCTGCACAAGACTTTATGAAGGTGCACAGAGCAAAGCTGTCAGTTTGAGGACTAAGGCTTGCCTGACCCAAGCCTCGCAATAGTCATTCACTCCCTGGGTACCTGAAAACTGGAAAGGGACTAAAGACGACGGGAGAAGAATCGATACCTCCCAGTGGGTCGTGCTGGTGAAAACATTGAGAGTATTATGGACAGCCAGAAAAATAAGCAAATCTGTCTTAGAGAAAGTACAGCCAGGTGCTGCTTAAAAGAGAGGCATCTCAAGTACTTTGGACATGTCATCAGAGAGACCAGTCCCTGGAAAAGGACATTATGCCTCGAGAAACAAAGGGTAGTGAAAAAGGAAAAGATTCAGCAAGATGAAGTGACACAGCGGTTACAACAATGGGCTCGGACATCACAAGCTGGAGACGGCACAGAGCCAGGCAGTGTTTCCTCTGTTGTGCACGGGGTTGCGATGAGTCAGAACAAATTCAATGGCACCTACCAACCACCATCCTCATCACCAACAGATGAAGGTGCCCTGGTAGTGAAACGTTTAGTTGCTACCTATAAAGTCAGAGATTCAAATCCACCAGGACTCTAGGAGAAAAATGTGGTAAAAGAATATTTGGCTCTCTAAAGATTACAGTCTTGGAAACCATAGGGGGCTGTTCTACTTTGGAAACAACTCAACACTGATGAGTTTCCATCCATCTGACCTATACCTTCTGTCCTGTACCATAGATGAACTGTCCTCCTCTACAGTGACCTCATTCCATCAACTATTGTTGTTCTTGGGTGTAGTCAAGGTCTTAGAGAGCTTTCACACTGTTGTCTCTTGTTAGGACCACATATGGACATTTGAGATCTGATTTCCTATTTTTTAGAATGAATACAACGTTTTTTAGAGATGCTGTCAAAGTTAATTGTCCTGCAGATCCAAACTCCAACAAACAGATTCACGGCTGTCAAGTTGATTCCAACTCAGAGTTGACTGCATGGGACAGGAAAAAGTGCCCCTCTGGGTTCCTGAGGCTGTAACTCATTATGGGAGTGAAAAGTCTCATTTCTCCAGAGGAGAAGCTGGGGTTTTTGAACACTTGATCTTGTGTTTATCAGCCCAACACATATCCCACTCCAACACTAAGGCTCCCTGTTTATATCAGGAAAGATTTATTTAACAAAAATGTTTTAGTGATCTTTTATTTTTTTTCTCCATACTTGAATTTGCAATAGCCACATCAGAGTCTTCTGTAATACTCATTGGTGGGAAAGGGAGGGTAAATATGGGGAACTGCAAGTCTGTGACCACTAGCCTATTTTATTTGAATCAATCATATTATTCCCATGGTTCTTATTCTGTTTAAATGTTCACTTATTCACTCACTGCCATTGAGTCAATACTGATTCATAAAGACCCACAGGGTAGAACTGCCTCTGTGAGTTTCAGAGATTGTAACGGTTTATGGGAATAGAAAGCCCTTTCTCGCCAGAAGCAGGCAGTGGTTTTGAACTGCTGACCACTATGCTACCAGGGCTCATTAAAAAAAATGTTTAGACAATTCTAATTTAATTTCCTTAATGAAAAATATTTAAGTCATGTCCACGTGATATCTACTTGAGAGACAACGGAGAGGTTTAAAGTACTAAATGCTATTTTTCTCAAAGAAGTTTTCAGTCATATGTAATTGGTAGTTCTTAGCACCTTCACTCCATCCAGTGTGGACCCAAACCATCATTATCTCTCTTACCTGTATTATGGAAACAGCTTCCTACTTGGTTTTCCTGCTTATGGGATTGTTAACCCTTATGGGAGCAGACAGCATCATATTTTTGACAAGGAGTGGCTGATACATTTGCAATGAGACCTCCTCTCTATTAATAACCCAACGCCCATCCCCCAGTGCCACCTAGACTCCTTTGTGTAGTAGCTATTCTATAACTATCAATAGAAATCATTACTATTACCTTTCTGAATCAAAGAGCAAATGCAAAAATGCATTACTGACTGAGTACTTGCTATAATTTGACTTATGGAAATGTTTACTTAAAATAAGTGACTATTCATTTGATACTTGGATTTTTGACACGACCTGCATTTGAAGTAAAGCAAACATCAGCCTGCACTCATGTGTGAAAAATATTCACAGAAGAAATATTAGCAACAATGGCCCAGAAATTGCTTCTTCATGAAGAAGCTATTTTTGAAAATAATTTCAGCAACTTGAAGCATTAAAGGTAACATAAAAAGATTAAAAGTTATTACTCTACTTAATAGGAAAGATTTAATTGCACCCTGTTAATGTGCTATTGTTGTTAGGTGCCATCAAGTTGATTGGGGTGCATAATGACTCTTTGGGGACCTGGTAACACAGAGTAGAATCACCCAAAGGTTTTCCTAACCTGTCACATCTTCAGGAGTAAATCACTATTTCTTTTCTCCTATAGAGCAGCTGGTGGGTTTGAACCACTGTTCTTCCACTTAGCAGTGTAGCCATTAATTATTGTATCATCAAAGTTACTGACAAATAAATAGCCCCTGGGAGACAGGATTGATATTTAGCTTATAAATAATTAAACGGGGGAGATGGGAGAAGTCTCTGGAGGTCCAAAAAGGCAAATACTCATCTGCCAGCCGTAAGATTGGTAGTTTGAAAAATTCATCTACTAACTGAAAGATTGGTGGCACTTCAGGAGAAAGGCCTGGAGATCTAGTTCTGAAAATTAGCCAGGAAAACGCAATGGAACACATGTCTATTCTAACCCACAGGGGTCACCCTAAGTAGATTCAAGGCCAAGAGGTAGCTGGTAGCAAACAAAGAAGCAAGTCCATGTATTTCTAGTTAGGAAAGATGATTTTACCCTTAAAGTGGACAAACCCATACAATAATAGGCCATGTCTAACTCTTGCGTGTAGTTAGCTCCTGTGGCCCTTCTAGCCATCTTCCCTTCTGTGCTAGATGACAGTTCTGAATTCTATACCGAGGTTCTGATTCCATTTTGGAGGACATTCTCTACGACACCAACAGACAGGATTGCTAGTGCTGAGGAGCCATCGAGTCGGTTCTGACTCACAGTGACCCATGGACACCAGAACCGGGCGCTGCCCAGGCCTGCCCCGTCCTCACAACTGTTCTATGTCTGAGCCCATGGCTGCAGCCACTGGGCCCACCCAGCTGAGGAGGGCCTTCCTCTCTTTCCCCACCTCTGTTTCACGGAGCACCGGGCCCTTCTGGAGGGACTGGACAGGATTAGCGTTGGATTAAGACTGACTTTGGTAGAAAGTGTGAACCCAGGGACTCCCTTTCTATTCTTGGGGATATCATTAGATTCTACTTTACTAGAAAGTGTACTTTCAGACCCCATCCTTGGTTTCCCCTGGGGGAGGGTCTGCTAAATGACAGAAAGTACACCTCCACCAAGGCCCTTCCTCTGTTTCCCGACTGAGCCTGGGCAGAAAGGAGGCCTGCTTGCACCGGGCGCAGTTTTAGGTTCAGGCTCTCCATCCAGCATCTGGCTTCCCTCTGCCTGACCTTGAATTTGGGACTTAACAGTCCTCCTAGTTGCATGAGCCATTTCTTTAAAGTTTGCGAGGGTCTGTGGAACTCTGAAGCTAAATGCAAGATACGCAAGAGAGGACTGGGGTAAAAGTGAGGAAGAGGAACATCTTGGAAGAACATCTGGGACATCAATAATCTCCAACTCCTTGACTACTAATAAATGATTACCATTATCATTTTTTATATAAATTTAAAAGGAAAAGTTTTATAAGAAAAAAATAAAAAATAGAAGTTTTAACCTTAGAGGAAAGTGATACATTTTAAAGTGAACCTTTAGAAATATATAAATGCATTGGGCTGCACACTACACGGCTGTCAGAAACACCAGCAGCTCCTCAGGAGAAACACTGGGCTTTCTCCTCCAATAGATAGCCTCAGAAACCCACAGGAGGTCACTATGAGTCAGCAGTGGCAGTGTTTGAGTATAGATATAATAATAACATAAATATAGTTATTGAATCCCAAGGACACACTCAGTATATACCTGGGGGACTTTTGCGGAGGCAGAGAGAGATTTGGTTTTCAGTTTTGCTCTCCCTTCTATCTTTTGAAGAGCTCTGAAAATCAAATGAACTGAAGCTTACACATTCTCTCGGCTCATGGCAGGCAGGCACTGTGTAGCTGCTATATCTTATTAGTGAGTTCTACCCCCCTCTGCACTCTTATCCCACCCTAAGTGGCAAACAATATTCAGGCTATTAAGAAGAATTGGAAATTAGTCCCTACAGGAGAGAACATTCAAAATTCTTTATCACCTTGCTGGCTTGAGAAAATCTTTTAGCATCAATTTGCATGTGCATCCAATTACGGATTTGACAGCCACATTTAAATGAGCCTCAGGTAAATAAGAAGTAAAAGATAAAGCTGATGTCTGTTAACAATTATCTCACTTCTATTTCCTAGCTACCCCAGAGCAAAACTTGAAGATTCTTCTTTAATGAGAGAAAGGAGGGAAACGATACTGAACCGATGGGTTTAATTGACAGGACACTTGTTTCCTCACTATGAATGAATGGTGTGTTGATGTGTCGTTTTATAATGAGAAAAGAAATTGTAATAGCAGCATGTAGTGGGGGAAGAAAAATAAATTGGAATCTAAAACAAATAATGAACATTGGTTCTGAAGACAGTCCAAAAGAGGACAAAGAGCCTTACAGGAGGACAAGCACGTTCAAGTCTATCAAACGCACAGCTGCGTCATTCTCTCGCTCTTTCTTCTCCGTTTGCTTCTTCCTCCCCCATCCTTCGCCAGTGCATCCTTCACGGAGAGCCAGATATGAACTGACAATGTTGAATAGTTGGCTCTGATTCGATACGTTCATGAATAGATAGAGCCGCTTGAACAGCTCACAGGGTTTCTTCTTCCTTTTGGAAGCTGCACCACTACTCTTCAGGAAAATCAACAGGGATTTCTGATCTGCTGAGTCTCTGGATTGATTTTCCTACCAGGTTGATGTGTCCTTAAAATTTCCAATAGAAAGTCCTCAGAGAAATGAAATATCAAAAGATAGCAAAATGAAAGCCCCCAGTTTATTTTTATAGTATTAATTTTGCCTGATCTCTTTAGTTCAAAGACAAAACGGAAACATCTTCCGCTGGCAAGCATTAGCCTAGCATTGATTCACAGAGAAAAGAAGAAAGTCTGTGAGCCCTGCATCGCCACAATCGGATATTTAATGCAAGCAGAGGACATAGCTTATGGAAGTTATCAGTGATTTTGAAAATATTGGAGAACTGGAAAAGGCACCCGTTTGACCACTGCACGGGGGAAAACAAGTTCGAGGCTTGCGGGAACACTAACGACCTTCACTCTGAAAGTGAACCGTGCATTGAGGTGTCAGAATTTAGAGCGAATGTCAAAGAAAAACAAGTTTTAAAGAAAACCATATCCGATTCCTCAAAACCAAGACAGAATACAATGTAACCATTGATGTATTTGATTTTTTTGAATAGAGCCACCAATACAATGACAACCTCCTACATAACTGATCAGTTAGACAGTGGAACCCAGCACTCGACCGCAGCAGGACTCGACGTCATCGAATTTCGACCCGAAATGTGGAGACAATTTTGCATCGGAGCTCGAACAAAACATCGAACCCGACCCGATGCACGGGGTTCTTGTCAACAAAGGCCGTTCGCGTTTCGGTCGGCGTTAGTTGGCGTTGTTAATAAGCGTTTTTTTAACCTTTCGCAGCTGTGTTCCAAGCGCTCTGCCACCATTTGCTTAGTTTGCGTGGCTTTTTGTACTGCTTTTAGATAAAAAACATGGGTCCTAAGAAAGAGGTGTTGTTTTTTAAAGAACCATCGTGATAAGGAACTGGCTAACCGTGTTACCGATATTGCTGCTGACAATTTAGTAAACCCTTTTAGAAAACACTTAAGGAAACGCCAACAGCAGACCACGTTAGACTGATTTTTTTCTTTGTTTTTTAAAGAGAAAGCCAGCCAGGTCCTAGTGAAAAAGGCAAAGAAGGGGTAAAAAAACTCCCGAAAAGCAGCTCCCAGTGGATTTGATGGAAGGGGATTCCCCTTGCCAACAATGACTCTCTCTCCAGACCTCCTCTCCACCTCCGTGTCACAGATCCAGATCCTCATCCATCTCAAGGTATGGGCCCTATGGTAGTTGTTAAAACTTTTTTAATGTTGTGTTTCTTACTTAAATTATATTATTTAACTCTGAACTTATTTACGTTTAACTTTCTGTGTAATGTTTTGTATAAAAAGGCACGTTTAGGGTAAAAGCTTGGTGTTCGAAACTATATTAATCCGTTTTCAGTTATTTCTTATGGGAAAAATGGATTCGGAACTCGACTGCCTTGCATCTCGATGCTCCTTCTGGAACAGATTAACGCCGAGGTCCGGGGTTCTACTATATGTCAACACTAGTACTTAATTTCTGTATAAGCTCCAAGGTGATGTGTATGTTTTTAAGATTACAATAGGTATAAGGTTCAGTTGTTATGATTCGGGGATGTGGTTTTATAACTTCACCTATTTTTACATGAATTTCCAAGTTATATGAATCTCTATTAAATCTGGTTTTAGGGAAATCACTTTGAAACTCATAACTGTTCATTAGCTCTAGTCACACATAGAAAAATCTCAAGTGCCAACTGGAAAGCGGAGAGTCTGTAAAGGGTCCTTAGTAACCCAAGAGAAGGTTCAAGTGACTGCATTTCTCTGGACGAAGAAGTGGCGCAGTTACCTGTGTTTCTTAATGTCACTGATACCGTTCTTCAGATTTCCTAGCCGTTCTGTTGGATTTTGCCTGAAATTAAAAAATAAATAAGAGGAGCTCACAATGGTTATGCCTGAGGTTTAAATTAAAATTTAATATTTAATTAGGCATTCATTCATTTCTTTTAACAGCATTCATACATTTCTTACTGTACAAAAACCAGCTTCCTAGATGGACGTCCCCCTGGAGGAGCCCAGAATTGAACTAGATTAAGGAACGTGAGCTTGTGTGTCAACAGAAGGTTGGGGGCAGAATCTGCCCAGAGGCAACTCAGAAGAAAGGGCTGGTGATCTCCTTCTGAAAAACTGCCTGGGGAAGTCCCTGGAGCACAGTTCTAGGACACGCAGGGGTTGCCATGTTTGTTAGAGTACAGGGGCAGCAAGAAAGAGGAAGGCCCTCAAGCAGATGAATTGACACTGTGGCGGCAACTCGAGCTCTAGCAGAGTAATGATCGTGAGGGTGGTGTAGGGCCAGGCAGTATCTTGTTCTGTTGTGCACGAGGTCATTATGGGTTGGAACTGACTCAATGGCACCTCACAACAACAAGCCTCAATTGACATCCAACTAATAGCAACCCAATGTACAACAACCATCAGAACAACAACAGAACACAACACTGCTCAATCATGTGTTTTTCTCACAATTGTGATGTTTGAGCACATTGTTGCAGCCACTGGGGCAATCAGCCTCAGAGAGGGTCTTCCTCTTTCTCTGCTGTACCCAACAGAGTGTCCTTTTCCAGGGACTAGTCTCTCCGGATCACATTTGCAAAAGTGGTTGGAGAACCCTGTTGTTCTCACTTCTAAGACTCATTCTGGGCGTCCTTTGTCAAGTCAGATTTGTTTGTTCTTCTGGAAGTTCACGGTATACTCATGTTTTTTTTTCTCCCCCAAGAGAATAACTTAAATGTGCCAACTCCTTTCTGGTTTTCCTTCTTCATTGCCCAGTTAGCACATGCATACGAGGCAAATGAACGTGCCATGGCTGAGTCGGGTGCACCTGAGTCCTCCTGGTGACATCTTGGCTTGCTAACACTTGGAGAGCTTTACTATTCTTTTCATTTACCAGGATGCTGTTTTATCAGTCCAGTGGTGAAGATTTTTGTTTTCTTTATGTTGGGGTGTAATTCATAGCTTACGACTGGATTCATTGATCTACATCACTAAGTACGTCTAGTCCTCTTTAGCAAGCAAGGGCATGTCTTTGCATGTAGAAAGTCGTTAACGAGTCTTTGCCTTTAATCCTGATGCCATACTCTTCTTCATATAACCCAGCTTCTTGGATGCTTTGCTCAGCATACAAGTTCATTAACTGGAGTGGACACTTTGAAATCGTATTCATACCTTGCTAGATTTTAACCCAAGCAGCATCCACCTATTCTATCTTCATGTGCTCAGGTTTCACATGAACACAATTAAGTGTTCTGGAGTTCCCACTGTTCATGATGTTATCCATAATTTATTAAGGCTCACACAGTCTAATGCTTTTGTATAGTCAGTAAAATACAGGTAAACGTCTGTTTGATATTTTCTGCTTTAAGCCAAGGACCGTATGACATCATCAATAATTCTTCATTTCATATCCACTTCTGAATCAGGCTCAACTTTGCGGCAGTTTTCTGTCACTGTACTGTGGCAGCATCATCAGAACAAAAAATCTTACCATAGTGAATGAGTGGGGGAGTGCAGAGTGGAGACAAATCTCATTTGCAGGCCACTGGAGATCCCTTTGCATAGGGGTCTCGGGGAGGAGACGAGGCAGCCAGGGTGTGATGTAGCAATGATGAAAAATACAATTATCCTCTAGTTCCTAAATGCTACTTCCCCGCCCCCCACTATCATGATCCGAATTCTACTTTGCAAGTCTGGCTAGACCAGAGGATGTACAGTGGTACAGATAGGAACTGGAAACAGGGAATCCATGGTAGGTGATCCCTTCAGGACCAGTGGTGTGAGTGGCGATACTGGGAGTATAGAGGGAGAGTGGGTTGGAAAGGGGGAACCAATTACAAGGACCTATATGTGACCTCCTTCCTGGAGGACGGACAACAGAAAAGTGGGTGAAGGGAGACATCGGACAGGGCAAGATATGACAAAATAATAATTTAATAAATTATCAAGGGCTCATAAGGGAGAGGGGAGCAGGGAGGGAGGGGAAAAATGAGGACCTTAAGTGGAGAGCAAATGTTTTGAGAATGATGAGGGCAACGAATGTACAAATGTGCTTTACACAATTGGTGTATGTATGGATTGTGATAGAGTTGTATGAGCCCCTAATAAAATGATTAAAAATAAATAAATAAAATTACTTTCTTTAAAATTTCACATGAATGTGCTATTAATGACATTGCTCTAGAATTTCCACATTCTGTTGGCTCACCTTTCTTTGGAATAGACAAACACATAGTAGCTGTCTGCTAAATGTCCCATCATGGTGCATTAATGAGTGCATCCATTGGTACATCCACTCGTTGAAACATCACAATTGACACGTCGTCCGTTCCTGAAGCCTCATTTTTCACCCATGCCTTCAGTCTACCTTCAGTGCCTTATTGCAGTAAGTACCATGAGTTCTTGGACATCTGCAACCATCTGAAATGGTTGAACGCTGAGTAACCTCTTTTTGGTATAGTGATTGTGTAGTTTTTCCATCTTTATTTGATGTTCCTTTATTTTTCAAAATTTTGCCAATAGAATTCTTCACTATTGCTCTTTGAAGTTCGAGTCCTTGATTCCGTTCTCGCAGCTTGAGAAATGCTAAGTGTGGTCTTCCTTTAGGTTTTCTAGCACTTGTTTTTCACATTCCATTCTCTCGACTGGCCCTTTGAAATCTTGTGTAGACCTCTTTTTATTTCATCGTTTCTTCCTTTCGTGAGCAAATTTCAGAGTTTCTTCTGACATCACATCCAAGACTCCTTATTCCAATTATCAATGCATCCTGATTAGATACACGATCAATTTTAGACTGCAGAAGTTGATCAATGTGGAGGGAAATTTCTTAATAGGGCTTTTCTACCCATGTCTCTGTAACTCCCCTGGGTGGGACAATACAAATAGGATTGGTCAATTTTCAGTATCACTCCCTGGCTATTAAGGATAAGCCTTCTCGGAAGCGGCGAGAGAAAGCTCAAGGCGTCAGCAGATCTCTGTGTGAAGTGGCCGCGGCTGAGACTGGAGGCGCCAGATTATGGCATGGAGACGGCCGTGCAGAGCAAGAGAAGCAATGGTGAGAATACAGGACTGGGAGGCAGAGCAACGAGTGGGCTTCCTGTCCACTGATGGAGGTAGTGGCGAAAGGACCACGTGACTGAGAAGCTGAGGACCAGAGAGAGACTTGGCTGCTGGCTGAGGAGAAGTTTTGCTGTGGTCCAAAGACTCTATTGTTACAGTTTCCTGATCCTAACTTTTAGTAATCTATTAATATCCGTAATAAGCCCCCGTAATTGTGAGCATTATCTATGAGCTCTGTGTGGCCATTGCAATGAATTACTGAACCCAGCAGAGAAGCAGTGTTGTGGGAAGACCAGTTGGTATCAGAGTAAGTAAAGAAGGATGGAGTGTGGACCCATGTCTCTTGACAAGAGGGAAGTCAAAGGCGGTCAAGTAGAGCTTCCCACATGGTTTACTGCAATACAAATCTTGAATTTCTTCACATTTAGTAGTAGTGGTTGGTGTAAAGTGGAATAATCGTCATATGAACTGGTCCTCCTTATAAGTCTATGGATATTAATAATATCACCAAGAGTAGAGTGCTTCAGAAAAGACCAAGCAATGCTCTTATTGACGACGAATGCAGCCACTCTTCTGTCAGATTGTTGTACTGTACTGACTTGCATTTCACTTTGACACAGAACACTATGCAGCTGGGGTTTCAAATCCCAGCAGGGTCCCCCACAATGGTCAGTTTTCAGACAAAGACAAAGCAAGAATGACTTCTGAAAACTGAACCAGTGGACACTCATGACCCACAGTGGGCGGAACACTGTCTGGTACAGTGTGAGGACACGAGACACGAGGACACGAGACCTCTGAGTGAAAGGCACTCAAAATACCACTGGCAGAGAACTATCTACTCCAAGCAGAGTGGATCTTAATGGCACAAATGGAGTAAATCATTTTAGACCTACATTTGCTGATGTGGCTCGACTCACAATGGTAAGAAACAGTGGCATCATCTATTAATAAATGGAATGTGGCATTTAAAATGTTTAAGTCAAGGAAAATTAATTAGAATTTGTCAAAAATGAAAGGGAATGTGTGACGACAGATATCCTCGGTGAGGTGTGATCTAGTTGGTTCGGATTCAAAGTGACCCCATGTACAATAGAGTGAAATGCCCCCTGGTCATGCACCATCCTCTCCATCACTATCATATTAGAGCTCATCATTGCAGCCACTGCGGTAAGCCATCTCACTAAGGGTCTGCCTCTTATCTGCTGACCCTTCACTTTACGAAGTATCACATCCTTCTCTAGGGACCAGTTTCTCGTGATAACATAGTCACAGTCCATGGGATGAAGTCTCGCCATCCTCACGTCTAAGGAGCATTCTGGTTGTACTTCGAAAACAGACTTGTCTGTTCTTCTGGCAATATTCTTCTTCAACACCACCCTTTACATGTACCAACTCATCTCTGCTTTCCTTATGCACTGTCCGACTTTCACATACAGATGAGGTGACGGAAACCCAAGGCATTAGTGAGCTGTAATGAAGTAGCACTGAACATTTTGCTCTACAATAGATAATAATGATTTCCAAAGGCAACAGAAACATGTGGGTGTCTTTTACTCTGTAAACAGCTACTATGATTCTGAAAGAGGCACAAATCATTCACATTGGATTACTAACATAAAGGTTGGAAGCGTGAACCCACTTAGTGGTGCAGCCTAAGGATTTCAGCCAAGGCAACCCTATGGTGTTCAATTCTCCTCTATAACACAGGATTAACATGATTTGGAATTGATTTAATGGAAACATATATCATATTTTGTTTTGGTGATTCTGTCTTAAGTTAGACTGCAAAAGAAAAAAAATACACAAAATACAAACTGAACATGCACCCAATTTTAAAATGCGTGAACACAGAAATTGTAAGCCTTCACATGTTCCTCAAGACAAGGAGTGGCTTGAGTTCCTACGGCTAGAATTGTCATTCTCACCTACAAAGCCTCCGAATCAAATCCTCTGGTCTTCTTGTTATCTTTCTGGGGAAATCCATTTTTTCAATTCCTTTGAGAATCAAATTGTAGGTCATCATTTGGTCAATCCCAGAAAATGGTGGGCTAAGGAAAGTTCAAAACCGAACAGGTTAGAAATAGAGTCTAAAGGGCATGCGGAAAGGCATCATTTATTCCCTTCCTCCCTTTCTCTCTTTCTTCTTTACCTTCTTGAGTTATTTTATAATAAATATGGAGATATGCTTGAAAATCATTCATTTCATAGCACGTATCAAATCACACTTTAAACACAGGTTTTCACGTGGTGAGACTAAGAAAAGAACAGTAAATTAGGGTGTAGAGAGTGACAGAGAGGAGTATGACTTTAAGACAGGATAGGAAGAAAGCCTTTCTGATAAGTTGATAAAGAGAATGTGAATGTGAATGAAGAGGGTGAGTAAATGAACTAACTCGATGCCTGGGGGTACAGCAACTATGAAGTCTGCAGTGGGCAAGGGGTGCTCCTGGCAGACACAAAGACAGTGTGCGTAGATGGATGGGGTGAGGAGGAAGGCACTATAGGACCTGACGGTGACATGGGCTCTGGTCAGAATTTGAGGAACCCTGGTGGTGTAGTGGTTATGCATTGGGCTGCCAACCACAAGGTCAGCCATTTGAAACCACCAGCCAGCTCCAGGGGAGAACGAAGAGGCCCCCTACACCTGTACAGAGTTACGGTCTAGGAAACCCACAAGGGTGGTTCTACCCTATCTTATGGGGCTGCTGTGAGTTGGCATCAGCTCGATGGCAGTACGTTGGAGTAGTAGGAATTGGGGCCTATATTTAAAACAAAGGCTCGGACTTATTACAGCTAAGGGAAGTTGCTTTTCTCTCTGTTGGTTGGTTGTTTATGTGGGGAATAAGCTGGTGGTGGTCAGCATCGTAGTGGCGGGGATGAAAAGCCCAGAACAATGGGTGGTTGTGGTACTGGTGAAGGTGGTGAGGTATGGTTGGTTTCTTGATCTACTTAGAAAGTAAAGCCCACCAACTTGCTAAATGGTAAAATGTGGCACATGGATGGAAGAAATGAAAAATAATGCTAATGTATTGTGGTCTAGGTGCCTATATGGATGGACTTGTCATTTATTGAAAGGAGAGAGGACTTGGTGACAAGCAAGTGGATTGTGGTAAGGGGGGAGTAAGAGTTATGTTCTGAGCCAGCAGTTATACTTATGTATCTACATCCAAGGGAAAGTTCAAGACTCAGGCATGATTCGGGATAATCATCAAATAGGAGTTATGGCCATGGTCTTTAAACCATCAGGGAGGGAGTAGACCAAAAGGAAGTCAAGGACCAATGTTGAACGATTAGAGGATCAAACCATGGAGAGTGAGCAGGAGCCAACAGTACAGGAAGAGCAGTGAGAGTGGGGAAAGCCGTAGGACAAACAGAGAATTCCTAAGGAATGTTACTGAAAGAATAAGAAGGTAACTGAGAAATGACAACTAGATTTGATAACATTTACAAGAAGACATTGTGCTTTTAAAAAAAATGCTTTACCATCTATCATATTAAATTGTTTAATGTTGTAAAATTAAGTTCAACTTTGGGAAACTAATCTGCTGAATCTAGGATATATGTGAGACCATTTGATAGTGAGAGCTTACATACTTGGGGAAAAACTTCAAACAATGTCAATGCACCAACTTTTCAGTCATCTGTGCGTCTTTTGTCAGACATGAGGTAGGGCACAAAATCATTACTGTGATGCTTTCGTTTATTTTTTATATGACAGCTATCCTGTGTGTATTTTTTGTTTTTTTACTTTTAACGTTATTTTATTTACCAATTGACTTTCAGGGCATTCAAAATGATCTTTTCTTCAGTCTGTCCCTTAACACCATTATAAAAATAATCTCATGATTTCATTTTTTAAATTATTATTTATAACAGATCAAGGACATCTGAGCACCTCCAATAAATGCGTCTCGTTTTGTTTTTCCTTTGTCTTCCTTATTCCCTTACTCCGCTTTCCTACCCCATTTCGGAAGCCCAGTGGCGCAGCAGCAGGTGTGACTTGAGTTGCTAACTGAGGTCAGAGGTTAGACTCGCCAACAGCTGCTCCATGGAGGAGAGATGAGGCAGTCTGGTTCTGGGAAAATTCACCATGTTGGAGACCCTCTGGGGCAGTTCAGCTCTGTTAGATGGGGTCACAATGGGTCAGAATCAACTTGACAGCAGGAGTTTGTGATTGTATTACCACTTATCCCAGCTGATGAAGGTTGACTGCATGTTCCCTGATTCTCTTGTTAGTCACAGAAATGACTCTGCATCTTGTAGAAATGCAGCTGACAATACTCCTAGGGCTAAGGAAGCAAATATTTGAAGTAGAATTCCTTGAGTCCCCAGACATCATTAGGTAATCTCTCTCTCTCTCTCTCAAGAACTGTCTGGGATTTTTTTATTTTTCTTCCTTAGAAATCTTAAGCAAGGAACACTTCAAATTCACTACAGATAATACAAAATAATATTTATAAATAAAGAAGATGAAGGCATCTACAAGTAATCAAATATTATAGTCTGTAGTGTATGAAGTTTTAGAAAATTCTATGAAATTTTATTTTTGTAGGTTCTGTGTGGTGATTTGTTTCCTCATCAAGGGACTCATTTGTGGTTTTTCTTATGTCATTCCATAGGCGACTGCTCGCAGAAATTATGACTGAGGATATTTGATCATAACGCAGTATAAGAATGTTCACATCTGTTACTGATCAATCCAGGTACAAACCTACCTCGCAACAAGAAAACTGATGTACTTCCCTGTGTGTGTGCCTTTATGCATTCTATTAGAAATAGATATGAGTATATGGCACTATGTGTGATATAGAAAGCATATCATATTTAGAATCAGAAAATCAGTGATCTTAAATCATTGAAATCCCTGACCATAAGCATAAAGCTCTCTGATTCAGTTTTCTATTATATGAAACAAATCATAATTGTAGTACAAATTTAAATCATAAAATAATAATAATAGAAAGCCCTGCCTTATCTTCCACACAAGTCCACACGGACTGAAATTAGATAGTACATGCAAGTGTTTGTAACCTTTAAAGAGATCCACAAATCTATGGTGATATTATGTATAGTGTGTGTGTTTGTATGTGTGTAAAATATTTGGGATTGTGGATTCATTAATACAGCCTGTTAGTCTCCTTGGGAATGACAATTCAATTTTAATTTTTAAAACCCCTGCTGTGTCTTATCTCTGTTCATTAGCACTTCTCAAAAGTAGTTGACAAGGGGATTAAAATTTAAATCCTGCAGTGCTGCACTCTCTTAGCATTTCTGGTTAATGATTTTTGGGGAGTATGGAAGAAGAACAGGGCTAAATTTAGCTTAGTTGATCGATAGATTTAATTTAACTATGATTTGATGTTTCTTTAATGATAAGAAATAGAGCCTATCCTAACAGTAGGCCCAAACTCCAATCCTCTCGCTCAGTCTCCTGTTTGACTATCAAAACCTTGTCACACACACAAAAGATTATTTCAACAATTGGCTCTGCCGTTTAAGAAAACCATAGCATTTGCTACACTCCCTTCTCTTGGCGAATCTCTTCTCATGTTCTATACTAGACGCAGGTATACATGTGGGGTAATATGAAGAGGAAGACATTATGTCTATAAATGTTTCAGAAATCTTCAATTGCTGAATTATATAAATTGATCCTTCACCAGCTCTTTTGTCTCACATCTCTGGATTAGCAGAACATAGCATGAAGGCACTTACTTGCCAGTCAGGAGCTCATACACAAGAATTCCCAGGGACCAAAAGTCCACACTGAAGTCATGTCCTTTGTTGAGGATGACCTCAGGAGCTACATACTCCGGGGTCCCACAGAATGTCCATGTTTTCTGTCCAGATCCTATTTTCTTTGCAAATCCAAAGTCCACCTGGCAAAGGACAAAGAAGCTGTCAGAAACCATACAACTAGTATTCTGCTGTAAAAATAACTCAACCCAAACCACAAGATACCCCTCAGTCGTACTGTTGACTCCAACTTACAGTAACCCTTAAAGGATAGCGTAGACCTATCTAGTCCTTAGGGTTTCTGAGACAGTAACTCTTTTGGGGAGCAGCCAGCCTCATTTTACCCAAGTTTGAATAGCTGACCCTGAGATTAGCAGCCCAGAATGTAAGCCACTGTGCAATCAGGACTCCTTATGTTCCTCTCCAATGTCCCATGTATTCTCTACCATCTTCACACAACACACCTTCCCTTCAAACTAAGCTTGTTCTCTCCCCCTCCATCTTTCTGCCTTTCTCTGTATGTGTGTGTATCGCTCCCTGAACTATTCTCCCGCAGGTTAGGTGTTAACCTCTCAAAATACCAAACTCATTACCACTGAGTTGATTCTGTCTCGCGGTGACCCTATAGGGCAGCATAGAACACCCTCTCTGGATTTCTGAGCCTGCAAATCTTTACTGGAGTAGAAAGACTTTGCTTTCCTCCATGGAGTAATTTGGGGTTTTGAACTACTGACCTTGCACTTAGTAGTCCAATTTGTAATTTACTATACTACCAGGCATCCTCTGGATAAGAGACTAGTATCTACATATTTTGTCGGCATTCATGACATGACTAGCTCTGTCTTAAAATTTTTCAGCATTTCTAGGCTAGGTGGGTCATCTGTAAGGTTGTGTGTGTATTTTAAATTGTCATACATCTTCAAAATATTCAAATGTAATTATTGAACAAAAAGCATATATAAGTGGAGGAGTATTGTTCAAACGTCAACTGCATTTTGTTACAGTAGTCTGGGAAGTGAACACAGGGACCATTTTTGAAAAGATATTAGACTAAGGATAGTCTTATAGTATGCACCAAATCCTCACTGTCTACTTTTGGCAGTTTAAGACACCCATCTGATCTTTGGTTGGGTTCTCTACTTACTCTGTCACTTGGGAAAGCAACAGACAGTGCCAAATGTAACCTATTGACTTTGCAAAGGGGCATTCGGCACATACTGTTATTTATCCACTCGTGTGTCATCTAGCAGCCGAGGCTTGAAGCTAGACCGCTACAGCGGTGACTATGAGAAGTGCAGCGTCTCGCGAAGAGTAGCTGTCGTTAGGCCCATCGAGGAGTCAGTTCCGACACCCAAGGACCCGATCACATAGAACCAAATACCACCTGGTCCGGCATCATCTTCATGGTCGTTCTTATAGCTGAGCCTATCGCTGAAGCCATGGTGTTAACTTATCTTGTCAAGGGTCTTCCTCTTTTTTGCTGCCCCTTTACTTTAGCAAGCATGATGTCCTTCTGCAGGGACTGGTCTCTCCTGATAACATGTCCAACATATGTGAAACTAAGCCACACCATCTTTTCTCTTTGCTTCCGAGGAGCATTCTGATGGTACGTCCTCCAACACGGATTTGATTTTTTTCCCCTTTGCAGTCAATAGGACTTTCATTTTCTATGCCAGCATCATCATCAAAATGCGTCGACTTTTCTGCAGTCTTCTTTAGTCGATGCCCAACTTCATATGCATAAGAGGCAACTGAAGATACCAGGGCTTGGCTCAAGCACACCTTAGGCCTCAGAGTAATGTCATCTCTTATCAACACTTTAAAGAGGTCTTATGCAGTAAATTTACTTAATGCACTGTATCCTTTGATCTCCTGACTGGTGCTTCCATGAGCACAGCAAGCAAGGTTGTGTCATCTGCATATCCCAGGTTGTTCATAAATCTTCCTCCAATCCTGATGTCACATTTTTTTCATATAATTATTTGCTTTATCTCATTATCTAATTATTTGCTCAGCATACAGGTTACCATTTATACTTGTGTATAAGCCGAGTTTTTCTGTACATTTTCTATGCAGTTTTGTGGTAAAATTAGGTGCCTTGGCTGATATTCAGGTCAGCTTATACTCAAAAATATATGGTAATTATGGTGAGAGGACAAAATCCTGACATGCACCTGTCTTGATTTTAAACCAGGTTTTGTTCCCACAACTGCTTTTGGTGCATATACAAGTTCTGCATGAGTACAGTTAAGGGTTAAGGAATCCTTATGCTTCTCAAGGTTATCCATAGTTTGCTATGGTCCACACAAGTGAATGCCCTGGCATAGTCAAGGAAACACAAGGAAACATATTTCTGGTATTCTGATCTTTCAGCCAAGATCCAGCTGACATCAGCAAGGTTCCACATCCTCTTCTGAATCCAGCCTGAACCCCTGGCAGCTCCCTGTCAAAGTGCTGCTGCAATGCACTGTTGTTGGATGAGCTACAGCAAAATTTACCTTGCATGTGATATCTGTTAGTGTTCTATAATTTGTGCATTCTGTTGGGTCACCTTTTTTAAATGAGTACAAATATGGATCTTTTCCAGCCAGTTGTTCAAGTAGCTGTTTTCGAAATCTCCTGGCATAAATGAGTGCGTGCTTCCAGGGCTTCCTGAGCTTGTTGACACATTTCAGTTGGTGTGCCGTCAATTCCCAGAACATTGCTTTCGACGAATGCTTTCAGTGGTTCTGAACATCTTCCTTCAGCACTATTGGTTCTTGCTCATATGGTACCTCTTGAAATGGCGGAATGTCGACTTGTTCTTTTTCATACAGTGACTCTCTTCTTTTGATGCTTCCTGCATCATTCAGTATGCTGCCCATAGACTCTTTCCATACAGCAACCCCAGGTTTACATTTTTCCTTGAGTTGTTTGTTTATGATCTGCTCTGTTCTTCCTTTTGGTTTTCTAACTCCAGATCTTTGCATATTTAAAAAAAAATCATTTTATTGGGGGCTCATATAACCTTACCACAATCCATGCATCCATCCATTGTGTCAAGTACATTTGCACATTTGCTGCCATCATTATTCTCAAAACATTTTCTTTCTACTTGAGCCTTTGGTATCAGCTCCTCATCTCCCCCCACCACGGCCCTCATGGACCCTTGATAATTTATAAATTATTATTATTTTTTCATGTCTTACACTGTCTGATGCCTCTTTTCATCCACTTTTCTGTTGTCCATTCCCCAGGGAGGGGGTTATATGTAGATCATTGTGATTGGTCCCCCCTTTCTATTCCACCTTCCCCTTCCCCTCCTGGTATCGCTACTCTCATTATTGGTCCTGAGGGGCTTATCTGTCCTGGATTCCCTGTGTTTCCAGCTCTTATCTGTACCAGTTTACATGTTCTGGTCTAGCTGGATTTGGGAGGCAGAATTGGAATCATGATAGTGGGGGGGAGGAAGCATTAAAGAACTAGAGGAAAGTTGCATGTTTCATCGGTGCTATGTGTCCTCCTCATGACCCTTCTGTAAGGAGATGTCCAGTTGCCTACAGATGGGCTTTGGGTCTCCACTCCGCACTCCCCCTCATTCACAATGATGTGATTTTTTGCTCTTTGATACCTGACGCCTGATCCTATGGACACTCCGTGATCGCACAGGCTGGTCTTTGCATATTCTAATACTTAACTTCTGTGCTCTCCAACTTTCCTTTGAAACTTTCTCTTCAGCCTTTTGACTTGACCATGTCTTCCATTTGCCTACTCTCTGAAGAAGAGAACTTTGCGTCTCCTCTAGCATTCACTTTGATCTTTCTTTCCCATCCTGTGTTTTTAAGGACCTGTTACGCACTTCATGTATGATATTCTTATGTCATCCGACAGATTAGCAGGCCTTTTTCCATTAATGTTGAATGGATCAAATCTGTTATTCAAATCTTCTCAAAATTCAGGTAGGATGTAGTCACTCTGATCTTCAGGGGTGAGATCCTTGTCTCTTTCCACATTTATAGACCCAGTGTTCTTTAATTTCTTGGCAATAGTCATGTTCCTCTATATCGTCCTCTAATTTTGGTTTATGCTGTCTTGTCTGTGAATTTAAAATGCTTCTTGTAACAAGTTTAGTATGCATTTTGCACTGATATGGCTTAATTAATGTAACAATGAAACCCTCTTCCCAAAAGGGATTACATGCACTGGTTTAGGAGAGATAGGATTCCAACACATACATTCTGTTGAGGCGCCCAATGCAATACCTACCAGTACTACACCAGTGTCGACATAGCATAAGAGAAGATCATAAAAAGCCAAAACTTGGAGGAGAAACATCGACTTCTCAAGCACGAGAGAGAAGGTGCTTGGGAAGGTGTCACTGACTAGTGACAGTTGAATCTCACCGTGACTGAAGAGTAGGAATGTACTCAGAGCAATGAATCAGAGTCTCCTCAGTTGTCTTTACAGGTCAGACCCCTCCCTCCACTTCTCTGAGACTCTATTCAGGAAATTCTGTGCACAGAATACAGACGGGCGAGAAGGCTGCAGCAAAAGAAGGCTCATTGAATTGAGGCAGTGTTTAGAACTGAAATCCTGCCCTGCAAAATAAACAGTTTGTTTCCACCCACAGAGCTTTCCAGCATGTATTTTCATCTCCAACCTATGCAGATATTATTTTAGTAAAACTACCCTCCTCCTCTCTCAAGTAAATAGGTATGCACAAATTGTACCTGTGGTTCGACATGTACATTTTAATAGCTTCATTATGCATGGGCTATCTCAATAATATGGCAATAATCTTAGCTTAAAAAAATAAATGCAGCTATAAGGAACCTAACTAGTCCTTACCTAAAATAACAAACACAGGTCATTGAACTAGGAACTCTCCTCTCTCATTTATATTTTCAAATATTCCTGTTAAATTTTTTAACTTAAATGAGTATCTTTGAAATGCACAACTTTACTGAAGCTTTTTCTTATTTATTGTAGAACAGCAAAGATTCCCTTATTACAAAAATGAATATAATTGAGCTTTTGATGCTTTCTTTTTCCCCATCATCTGCATAAAATGACTCATAAAGATAATATCTGAGAGATGACTGGGGATATTATGCAATTAAAAATTTGTAACCAGCTCAGATTAGCATATCTACTTATTCCTCAG